GGGCGGGGTGAGTATCCACGTGGCACAGGAAGGTGCCAGGGCCAGTGCCAGACTGTTACTCACCAGTGTGACGCCTCTAGACGCTGGTAACTACAGCTGTCAGCCAGAGGGCCTCGATGCAGCTCACGTCTCTGTCTTCGTTCTGCATGGTGAGTATTTCCCTGTGTTGCAACTCGTTAAGCTGGGTATTGCCCCTTCTTCCCCTCTATTTCTACTTTCTTCCTTTCCTACCTCTTTTATTCTCTTCCTCCTTTCCTCTCCCTTCTCTCTCTCTCCCTTCCTCCCTCCCTCCTTCCCTCCCTTCCTCCCTTCCTCTGTTACAGACTCGTTACAGTAACAACTGAACATAATGCAAGTACTCTTTAAATGGCCCTGAAAGAGAGGTGATTTAATGTTAGTGAACTGCTCTTGACTCAAAGAATTAAGAGCTACCCATCCCTCCCTTGAATCAAACTTGATTACTTTCCATTCTCCAAGCACTGTATGGCCCATACGGGTTAAGCGCTTCCCTGTGAAGTCAAAATGGTTGTTGTCTGTGCTGAGGCTCCCCTCATGAAGAAGACTCGTTCCGCTACGTGTTTTATTACGGTCATGGGAAAGCGCTAAATCCGTTCATAGAACGTATAGGGAATTGGACATAGGCTAGGTTAGGTTAGGTTAGGTTAAGTTAGGTTAGGTTAGGTTAGGTTAGGTTAGGCTAGGCTAGGTTAGGTTAGGATGGGTTAGGATGGGTTAGGCTAGGTTAGGTTAGGCTAGGTAAGGTTAGGTTAGGATAGGTTGGGTTAGGTTAGGTAAGGTTAGGTTAGGTTAGGTTAGGTTAGGTTAGGTTAGGTTAGGTTAGGTTAGGTTAGGTTGGGTTAGGCTAGGTTAGGTTAGGTTAGGCTAGGTTAGGTTAGGTTGGGTTAGGTTGTAATAAAGTTGGTAGAATAACCGACAATATGTAAAGTAAAAGGACACAAGTGCAACTAATGTGACTTTTTATTGTGGCAACGTTTCGCTCTCCAGGAGCTTTATCAAGCCATTACAAACAATACATGGACACAGAGGGTATATAAAGGCTCAGAGTGAGGGGAAATACTAGTGAGGTACCGTTTTGATGTTCACTAGTGGTAGTAGTAGTAGTAGTAGTGGTAGTGACAAAAGTAATACAATATGGTAGAGCAATTGATTCGTACATGAGTAAAAGGATATAAAAGCTATTACTTGGGTAACATAAAAATAGGTTGGGCAAATATAGACTGGAAAGAGGCAGCTTGTTTCAGTGTTCACTCTCTGTGCTTTGTGTAGTATAACAGGAGAGACTATGTGATGGCAGGGTTTACTGTTTTCAGGAGGATTCTTGCTAAGACTTCGGAGATGGTGAAGCTGCCGTTGTTTTGTTTAATTGTATTAGAAACAGCGATCAGTGCTGATTCGAGGCACTTGCGTCTGCGGAAATTAGTTTCTTTGATCACTAATTGGGTGTCTCTGAATTTCATGAGATGATTGGTGGAATTTCGGTGTTGTACACAGGCGTTGTTCAAGTTATCGTTCCTACATGGCTTGATAAAGCTCCTGGAGAGCGAAACGTTGTCACAATAAAAAGTCACATTAGTTGCATTTGGGTTAGGTTGGGTTAGGTTAGGTATTTAGGTTAGGTTGGGTTAGGTTAGGTTAGGTTAGGTTGGGTTAGGCTAGGTTAGGTTAGGTTAGGCTAGGTTAGGTTAGGTTAGTTTGGGTTAGATTAGGTTAGGTTAGGTTAGGTTAGGTTAGGTTAGGTTAGGTTAGGTTAGGTTGGGTTAGGTTAGGTTAGGTTAGGTTAGGTAGCTTCGTCAGGAAACAGGGAAAGTGTTTCCTGATCCGGGTCTTAGGCAGATGACGACCGGCCGTTGGAGCTTTTGGTCATCTGACCGAGGCCTTTCGCTGGCTTACCCCTCCACCCCTTTCAAAACCATGATTATAGTTATACCAATTTTTTTTAATGGCGGCAATCACGTTTCATCAAAGTGGAGAAGAGGAACGCAGCACCATTTCCTTGGATCAAGAGCCGTTCAGAGCATCAGGGCACACACTCCTGAGGGATCTGCCAAAGATCCATCGATGCAGCTCACTGCGCTTATATTTACTCATTACTCTAGTATAGCAAGTTACTCACTTATCCAAGCTCATTCACTGTTATCGCAGCTCACTGTTATCTTACCCTATTCACTCGTGTTATAGCTCGCCAACTGCTATCTTACCTGACATTCACGTTCGTGAATTCGAACGTTAGCTTTGTCGAGGCTTCTGGTTGTGCCGTCCTGGTGATGGTGCGTCAGTACTTGGCTGAGTTCGACTCATCAAGGTCCTGATGACTGTAAAAAGCAGTTGATGTGGAGAACTGAAGCTACTACACTCTTCTTCTTTCTCAAACAAAATTAACTTCTATTCCTAGGGATTAGCGCTTATCCTACATGCCAAGGAGAATTTTCTACGTCGTCATCAAGTCCTTCGTTCTAACGCTACTTGTGACTCATCTGTCCTCTCATTTGGTGAAAAAAAAGACTGTGTAGTAAGGTTTCAGTTACCTACTTTTGTCTTCTACATGTTTATGTATACCAGGAAAGGATTTCGGGGGTCAACGCCCCCTCGGCCCGGTCTGTGACCAAGTCAAGCAATTGTCTTTATTATTTCTCCAATACTTGTATGACAAAATATGGCTCATGTTTTCTTTCTCCTATTATCTAACTGAGTATTTTTTAGTGTCTTCATATTTTCTGCAGTCTGAGAGTTTTTTCTTTTTTAATTTGTCGTTCAACTTTGAGATTCATATTTAGATTTTGTAGACAAAGAGAGTGTAAAAAGGGAGTATATTCAGCAGCACAAGGAGTGATGGAGGCTCGATCCTCAGTTCAGAAAGCATCACAGGAGGCAACATAGGAAGCCAAGACAATCCTGCATCTGAAGTTATTCTCCCAAGAGTCTTAAAGATATCCTTCCAAAGACTCTTATAGATATCCTCCCAAGAGTCTTAAAGATATCTTTCCAAGAGCTTTAAAGTCATCCTCCAACGAGAGTTAAGGTAATCAGGTGCGATCCGAGGATACTGATACAGCTGTATTATTGTTCTAGGGTGGCTTCAATTCCTTGGATCAAGAGCTTTGAACCAGTATCAAGACACCCCCTTGACGGGTCCATGAATCAAGAGCCCTTCACCAACATCAAGACACACTCTTGACGGGTCCATGAATCAAGCATCAAGGCGCACCCCTGGAGCTAGAGTACTACCAAGACTCCACAACACGATCACCTGAGCCAGCAGGTTATGGAGCCCACTTTATAAAAACTTTCGTTTGATCTTCACGAACAATGAGGAACTAATCAGAGACATCACCAAGACAAACACAATACCCTCATATCAAAGCCTCGCTCAAGTTTAAACAGACATTTATGACGCTGCTCTTAGAAACACCCAAGGTAAGGGAATACCAAGGTAGAAAACAGGACGGTACTAAAAATACGATGAACAGAAGTACGTACGGACACTTACGATTTCTTTATACGCCGGACCGAAGACCCAAGACCGACACATATTCAGTGAAGGTGTCCTATGTGTACGCAGTGGCGTTCTTTCGTCTATAAGGGGATACTAAGGAAATTTAATATCAGAAATAGGAATGCTGACCGCTACAATATAAACATGGAATATCCCCGGTATCCCTTGAGAAAGCATGTTGAAAAAATTACATCCCCGGGAGAAATATTTAAAGGAGATCAAACATACAAAGAGAGTGCAGAGCAAAAATAAAATACCCGAAAAAAAAAATCAAAGAGCCTAAACGAAAGCAGAGAGGAAAGAAATCTTACATAGAGATAACCGAGATAACTGAGAATAAAATACTCGTACAAGACGGAGGGAATTACAAAAGGAATAAAAAGCCATTCAAGAAACTGAACAACAAAATGCAAAGCTTTTCTCCCTTGTAAAAATCTAAAGAAAGAAAGTCTCTGAGTTACTTACGAAAAGGAACAAACTTTGAGGACAACGAAGTAAAACGCGCGAAATAATTAAAAAAAATCATGAATCCATCCTACAATTTCAATAACTACGCTACACAAATTCTACAGAAAGTTAGGAAGGAAAACTGACATCAAGTCTACGCACTCCACACTAGGGCCCGACTCCTCGAATTTATATATATATATATATAAAAGAAATATAAGCAACATACCACTAGTGCAGGAGCTCAGTGTCCATTGTAGTTGTCAAGACTTGTGAAACTCCAGACGGTATAAAAACTCGTGGATATCCACGTCTCACAGATGACGCAGTTAGAGATGGTGAGAACTACAGACCAGTCACACTAAATTGACACATCATGGACGTCTATGAAAAGACAAATTATTAATTTTATAAGAGGCAAGCTTTTCAACCCAAACAAACATGGTTCAGAACAGTAAGACCCTCCATATCACAATTATGAATAAAATAATAATAATAATAATAATAATAATAATAATAATAATAATAATAATAATAATAATAATAATAATAATAATAATAATAATAATAATAATAATAAAAATTAATAATAATAATAATAATTAATAATAGTAATAATAATTTTATTTCTTCGAGCCAATATGAGAAAATTATAATGTAATAAAAATGCAATTATTTTATACACAGGTTTTTTTTTTACCGTATTTGACAAAACTGACAATGGCATAATAGCCTACAAAGTGAGGTCAAAACTTTAACAGGCATTATGGACAATTGGATATTAATTTTTATAACAGATCCCAACGAGTGACAGTATGCCATCCAAAATCCAGTCTGTACAAACTACAATATTTATTACTGCAAAGCACAGACCTAACACCTTCTGCTTATCATCATCATACAGACACGCTACTCATCATACAGACACGATACTCATCATACAGACACGATACTCATCATACAGACACGTTACTCATCATACAGACACGCTACTCATCATACAGACACGCTACTCATCATACAGACACGCTACTCATCATACAGACACGCTACTCATCATACAGACACGCTACTCATCATACAGACAAGCTACTCACACCTATGTATATTGTCTATGCGGACAATACATATATTAATTGTATCGGCAAACTTTTGTTTTCAACGAACCGGCCGTATACCACCGAGGAA